TAAAATTCAAAAACTTGAGGGACAAAATAAATTAAAATAAAAGCCATCTATAAATTTACCTGAAAAGGTGGAGATAAATTAGCTTGAAAATCTTTTGTCAAAGTACAAAAATCAGATTCAAGGTCTAGAGAAAAGCTCTCAGCAACAACCTCAGAAAGACCAAAAAGCTGTGTGTGCTACAAAAACAGTGAAGCAATATTACAGAAAAAGAAACCAATTCCAAAAAAAATTACTTCAACAGGGTCCTATGGAGAAACAAAAACAGAAATGCCATTTGAAGAGGCAAAAGTCTTAGCAGATAAGCAGATGCTGAAGGATTATTAGAAGAGAAATTGAAAGTTTTGGCCACAGCATAATTGGAAAAAAAAAATTATAAATGGCTGTCACTATCATCAAAATACAACTAAATAAGAAAAAACTAAAAATACTACACAATAATGTTGTCAAAGATAAAATAACAATCTAGTATCAGCAAGTGTTGACTGTAGCTTTGTGTAAGTTGCTAAGATAAATAAAGTTATTGGATGAAGGAAGATTCCTTACAGATGAAGGTTCCCATGAGCTTAATGTAATATCACAAGATATTAAACAACAGTGATCAGTTAGACCTAAAGTGACAGTCAGCTATTATAGATATAGAGTTTAATCTATTTGAATACATGTTTTAAACTGACCAAGCAATTTTTTGTATAGTAATAATGACAAAGAACATTAAACTCACTATAATAGGTAGAAAAGGACTATAAAGCTTTTTTGACAATCTTTATTAAAATCATCATACAACTTTGATTTAACAATATGTCTAAATAAAACTCCAGTATAATATTGAAAATAAATAATTAAATGAAACACTATTAAAAATTGCCTCTGAATGGTTAGAGACCAAAAAAAAGTAATCTCCACAGAAAAGTAATTGCTTCACATATTTAATATAATCTTTTAGAACATATATATATATATATTTCTAAATCACATTTACATTTAAAATGGAGCAATAGCAGAATTTTTCTGTAATATATATAATATGTTACCATATGAGTTTTTTGACAAAGCCAAAACAATTATTATTATTGCTAGCAACAATTTTTCAAGACTTTTCAAAGACAACTGATCTGGAAATATTTAATGTATGTTGAAAAGTATTTAAGGAAAGTTTCCTCATCACTGTTTAAGAAACTAACAATTCACAATATTACTCAGGCTAGTTACCTTCATTACTACAATGTATTAATTCATCATTTTTACTGTGTTTCATTGCTTTTAGAGATGAAATGCATGTCACACTTATTTTATTTTTAAACTTTAAAAGCAGTCAGTACAGTATATTCAGTAAGAAAGAGAATGTTATTTCTGTAGGCTAAACATTAGGTAACAACAAACAAACATAAAATATGATTGTAAAAATTTTCAAATTTTATCCTTGCATAATTAGTAAAGAATATATCTTTATTTCGGTATATTCAGGTAAATTTCTCACAAATTCTTGCAGATTCTTTTACATAGTTAATGACATTCTTACAAGCTGAATTTACAATAATTCTATATTGCACTAATTCTTGAGCTTAAAAAGATATTACATGTCACAAAACTTGTTTTGTAAGATGATATTTGTTTGGCATTGTCCATAAATCATGACATCCCGGAGTGAAGCCAAATTCATTTTGAAGAGTGGTATAGGGACCTATATTAATATAGGTTAGAGATCTATAGAAATGGTCACTGATTTATGTAATCTGACTTAACAGTGTGGTAGAGTCATTATACTGATTCCTGTTTTTGTCCTGTTCAAGTTTAAGAAACCATTCTCTCTCTCTGCCCTAACAGCCAAATGTCTATGTGATGAATTTATAAGCTAGCAGTATTAGGTAAAATCCCAACAATACTTTGTTGTATGAATAAAATTTATTGTTTTATTTAACTCTTGTTTTTGCTTGTTTTGCTTTGCTATGTATAGGTATTTTATTATCTACATAACATTTCCATCTTGCTGTACTTATATTTCTTGCTCTTCTGTTGGTCACCAATCTACATGAATACCACAGATAAAGTTATTAAGTTACATTCTGGTGCTAAGATCAAATGATTTGTTTATTGTAGTTGATTTTTAAAGTGCTTCTTTTTACATTTGACACTTTGGTGCTGCAAAGTTCTTTAGGACCATGTAGAACTCTGAGAAGGAAGCTGTGACTGAGAGTGCCAAAAGAAGTAGGAGAGGCCTTCTCCAGTGCCAAGAATTTTTGCAAGACATAGTGACAGCTGTATTTGTATCTTGGATCTGTTCTCGGTTGCCAGGTGACTAAAGAAAACCATGGTTGCTACTGCAAGACCTTTACTTGCTGATTACCATCAGTTGCTAGAGTATAAAGTGACAAAGATGGGACATGGTGGCTACAAAAAATCTTAAGGTTCCAAGAACTGCAAGGTTCTCCATACCCTTCAGTATTGGGGGTGAAATAGCTTTGAATGTCAAATTATGAGGATGAATCTTTAAAATCTGAGGGTGAGCAATTAAATTATTGGAATGACAAAATTAGTGGCAATGTTGATGCCCCCCTGTAACAATTATGCCTTGCCTTCATATCACAGTAATACCCTGTTAGTTTTGGATCTGTACAATGTGTGTTGATGTTTGTGACATTGTGATATACTCTAATGAGCATTCACTTTGAAACTAGTAAAATAAGTGTTTATGTAATAATTACAAGTTCATGTGGATATCCTTCAGTTAAATAATCATTCATCTTCAAAGGTGCAAGAAGTAACAGTTCATAGTCAATTATTGACTGTCTTACATACAAGGTGTTTGATAATCCAATTAAAGTCATGCTTCTTTTGATTGCAAGTTGTTTAGATATGATGATTGGACTAATCAGAGGTTACAAATTAACAGGTCACCTGCTTGACAGCTTATCCATAAGTATGCAAATCAATTCAATAGCATTCTCTCATTTTATTGATAGTTGCATGAATATGGTCTTTGCACAGACATGAAACCACATAATACCCATGAGGCCAGCTACTGCTCAAACCACTTTGTTATGTATGCAACATAAATGCACCTTACATCTACCTCTTAATAATTTCCATACACTAATGTGTCCATATTATGAGATTTTTGTGTATGAGCATGAATCTGTGACAGAAATACTCAGGGTTCAGGATTATCACAAAAAACAACTAGAACAGTATCTTATAGATCCTTGGGCATTTTATAACTGGTGCAAGCATTGTCAGGCACTGGTTGGAGTCATTAATAACCAAGAAGAGTGATGAAAAAAAAGTTCACCACAAAATGTCATGATACAATCAATCAGAGGATCTTTGGGCCAGTCAGGAATCTTCCTGACCAGCAAACAAATTAATGATTAAGATTTTATAGAAAATAAAACTGTTGATAAGTAACTAGAATATTTAATGATACAATCATCTAATAGTACCTGATCTGAAATTTCAGTTACAACTGAATGTAGCGGATTACTGTAATAAACCATGACAAATCTAAAATTTGTTAAAGTTCTTCTTGTAGTTTTGAATCTGTAAATCTGTAAGCCTAGCATCCAGATATTTCATAGATGAAAAATTTACTAAAAAGAATAATCATTCTCTAGCTAATAGCTTTTAAACTTTATAGGTTTAACTAATAAAAATCATTCATTTATTCTAAACAAAATGTGCTTCCAAACTAGAATTAATATGCACTCTGAATAACCATGCGAGTAGCATTTTGGATTATTGTGGGTTTTAATATCAGAGAGAAGAGTAAAGTTTATTACTCTGAATTTACAATAGTTTGATATATTTTTAGCTACTTATTTTTAGATAGCAGAAAATATAACTTCATTGTTGTGTTATTTTAAGAATGATAAATATCATTGTTTGAAAATACAATTGTTAGGGTTATTTCAGTGTATATTGCTAGCATTAAACAACAAAAGTTTTATTTTGATTTTGATTTGCTGGGAAAATTGAATATCATACGAGCAGAACAAGAAGCTATTATTACCTGAGGTTTAAGTTGGAAAGCTGCCTCTGATTTTATGGTTTCACAAAACATATTTAATAAATACAAAAACCTAATGTAAGTTTTTCATTTTTTACTTTGGTGAAGATGCCTACCCTGTATCCTACTCATGTATTAGGTATGTCTTTAAATGGAAAAATATCTTCAGTACATATCACAGGACATTACATGATCCTCTTGATTAATGCACTCAAGGCAACATTTGTTTTCCCATTGAATTTATGTTTTAATTTTGAGGGCTGTCTCTCCACTATTTGCTGTACTGTAGATACTTGTTACTTTTGTGTTTGACATCAGTTTTTATGAATTCTACACATCAAATATTGAGGATGTAGTCAAACAAATATCACTATCAAAGTAATACCTATTAAGCATTATGCATGTTTTCTGTTATACAGTGAACTTCAATCTTATTAGCTAAATAAAATACTAGTGTAGTACTAAGAATCCAATTGCATGCAACTGCTGTAAGAGCACAAATTGTGTAGTCTTCCTAGTTACTGTTTGATTTTTAATGGAGATGTAGTTCTGTGAAGCAATAGTGTAAAGTTGCTTTCCAAATAGAACAATATATGTTTCAAAGTTTTAATCACAAAGAATGTCCTAAAGAAGAATGAAAAACTTGAAATCACAGAGTAGTAGCAGGTCAGAATATATTCATAAATGAGAAAGGCTGTTCATTTGAACTTCTCAACTGCAAGTATTATATGAATGGAAATACAGGGTTTGGCATTACCATTATGCAAATAAATATCTTAAAATTACAGCTGGACACTGAATTATTAACAATAATTTGTTCACTACAATTTATGGATATCCAGCATATGGGAAAGAAATCCTATATCTTTCTAAACACAGTTTCTACAGATTAACTTAAAGCCCACTACTAAAATCATTTCTCATCTAAACAGAACAGCTAAAAAAAACTTGACATAAACCTCACACAGGTAAAAATTCAACTCTTAGAAATAATTCTTACCAATGGAGTCCACCCTGCATTATCCTTGACATTAGGATTAACACCATCTGCAAGAAGTTCTCTGACTCTACTAATGTTTCCCTAAATTGAAAGAAAAATAATAAAAAAATTGTGTACAATTTTTATGTACTTAATTTTACAAAATAACTCTTTGTTTCTTTAATATGTATTAAATTATAAAGAAATATGATACTACTGAAAATGCACCATGTAAGTAAACAGGATTTTACACAAAAACCTGTAATACATTGTTTTGATAAAATAGCATACGTTCTTTACAATTCATTGACATGTTAATTGTAGTTATAAGTTTAGTATTATTTTGATAAAACTTTTATTATTCACTTAAAAACTTGTGTTAACCTTTTATAGCTAAAGAAAAAAATTAAAATACATATGTAATATGAGAAAAAGTGTGATAGTATGTATTATAATTTCATCCATTACACATTTTGCATGTGCATTTTCAAGTTATTTTTGAGTACTGAAATAATTGCTTAAGAGCAAATGTATTGGTATTACAAATGTCTGAAGAACAACCCGTCAACAAAATTATCATTGACTAAATGGCATAGAAGACTTAACAAATGTCAGATAATCAAATAAGGTAATAAAAACTTTCAATACCAATAAACAAGCAGGATGATCAAATGAGGTTATGAGGAAATTCAAACATCATGCACACATTTAATTGAAAGTAACATTCCAGCCTGTAATATTGAATATGAAGGGCCAGCATTTTTGTATGGGACAGATGCTGTTAAATCAGCAAGTTGACAGGATGTGGATGACATCTAGGGCATAGTAGATAAAATATCACATACCATGTCTGGATGGAGTTTATAGTTGAAGAAATAATGAAATCATAATGATAAATTCAAGCTCTACAGAGTAGATGTGCAGGCTAGAAAAACATGCACAGGCAGGGGATCAAACGACCTGGAATTCAAGACATACCAGAGATACAGAGAAGGACGTGTCAAATTCCAAGAAAACTGAAGAAGTTAAATTCACATATTGTAGTTATGATTTTGCTTTAGAGAACATCTTGTCTGGCAAACATAAAAGCCCATGCACAGAGTTCTTACCAGAACAAGACAGCAGTATCAGAATAGTTTAGGATTAGAGTTTAGACTTCTTTCAGCAAAGGAAATCCTTCACCAAAGATATCCATGCTGACAGAGGGTGGAAACCATCTCTACTCAAGCTTTATTGATTTACAAGAATTTCTAGAAGAATATCTGAATATAAAAAGTGAAACTTAAATGTATAACTATTAAATAAATAGGACTAATTGTATGTTTTACTTCTGTGATATATTCAATATTTGTTTCTGTGCTACCTAGTCTCTGAGTGAATTACTTATTCTTTATGTACATTACCTTGAGTTGATGGCTTGTGAGCCTTATCCATGACTGCACACAAAATATCCTGGTATAAAATAAAGTTATTTGTAACCAGTGTGCAGTCAAACCCAACAACAAATCGCCCCATTACAAATTGGCACAGTGAACCAGGATTTTGGGTTAACCAACGACAGGTTGTAAAGAATAAGGAACAGAAGTTGAAATATTATTTAAGTGAGTTAGTATATGTAGATAAGTAAGAAGTAGTAAAAGAAGTAAATATGTCGATAGCTACTGGGAGAATTAAAACTGAAGAATGTGTATAACCTAGAACTGATAAGCTGCCACAAGAGCCCCATTAGTTCTACTAGAACAGCATGCTGCTGCTATGCTATTATTTTGTGGTGAAGTCAATGAAGATGTTGAAAAGTTTTACTCGGTTAATGAAGCGGCCAGAATATCAGGTAGGACAGATACACAAAAAAAGTAGATATCCTGAAATTATAAACAGACGGAGAAGCAAAGTACTACATTTGAGCTTATGGCAAACTTAGAGACACTAATGACTTTCAGTATTTAGCATATAGGTTAACACAAAAATACAGCAAGTAAGACACACCAAATACCATTCTAACACAAATTCACAATTTAACCCATCAAAGTATTTGGTCACAAACTACAAGACTTAGGTAACAGACTGCATAGGACATATAGACAATCTAACGAATTAATGATACAAGATTCTTTAAAATCAGACTATGAACAATGTTTGACCAGTAATATAATGGCAAGAAATGTAAATGAAGCAAATACTCCAGATGCAACTCTATAAGACTTAACTGAAGTAGCTACTACAGAAGAACCATGCAAAAAGCAGATATACAGACCCCAGAACTCTGCTACAAACACTGTAGATAAAAAGAATTATAGAACAAACTGGCAGAATAAATATCAAAGTAGGCTCAAGGGTACAAAATGTTTCAACTGCAGTAAGCTGGGGCATATTGCTAAAAATTGTTTTAAAAAAATGCAGTTAGAATGTTTTAACTATGGATTGAAAGGTCACATGGCCAGAGACTGTAAGCACCCACCTAAAAGAGCCCCAGGAACTGAAACTTTTAAGAAAAGGTTTTCAAACAGTACTGGAAAACCAGTGTTTTCCAGAGAAGGAAAAATAATAATTCCAGCCAGAAATACAAAGCAAAATTAGAGGTAGTGGCATAAAATTTTGAGTATTAATAGTGGTAACAAAATTATGTAAAAATAAAAGGTGTAGAATGTCAGTTGTTAGTTGACACAAGTGCTGTATTTCAAATGAAGAATCAGTAAAGAAAAATCTGACATTGTTAGATAATGCATGGAAATAAGTATTAAAAAGTATTTTAACTTCCATACCAGGACATCCTATTCAAATTCTATGCAAATACAGTGTTCAAATAAAAGTAGGAAACTTAGAACTTGAACAGCCATTCTTCATCTGTCAACAGATGATATACCAGGGCATGATTTCTTGCAAGATTATGATACTGAGATATCTTATTACCAGCAGTAAGCAGCACATAGAAATGGAGATCTTTAGCTTTCAAGGAATTATACCTTCAGACTTATGTTCAAAAGTGAAGATAAATTATACCTTCCCATTGACTCAAGCTAATAGTCAGATGCTGAACACTAGCATTAAGTAAAGTAGAGAGGCTAAGGATCAAAAGTCAAAATACAAAACCACTGATACTTCTAAGCATAGTGATACACAACAAAATTGGCATGGTAATAGAACTAAGTATTTGCAAAGAAATCAGACTAAAAGGACTAAAAAGAAAAGAGGTGATCCTAGCAAGAATAGTAATACTAGCAATAAAAGTCATAGAAGTAGTAGCAATAGTGAAAAGTGTGGTAAACAGAAGTAAAACAAGGCAAAATAAAGTAGAAGAAGAAGAATGTGGCCAGGGAAATAACTATACAGACCCCTCAGATGGCACTAAACCTAGGTTAGACAACAGAACATACCAACAGGAGAGTTTGATAGAAAGAATACTTGTAAGGCAAGTTAGATTAACTGAAGTTTCCAAGAAAAGTCAAATTATTGTTGATGTTGACACTCCAATTAGAGACCACTTAGCATTTGTAAAAACCTACAGTAGAATAAGTGAACAGTTCTTTGGCCAAACATGAGAAAAGATATCAAAAAATATTTTGAATGGTTTACATGATGTAAAAAGTAAAAACCTGTCTGCATTTAAGAAATGCTTCCTTACAGAGGATGCCAAGTTTAATGATGCCAATTCAGATGATAGCTATGGATATTTGAGGTCCATTACCAACTTCATACACAGGAAATTGAATAAATTAGTTGTTGCTACCTACCTTACCAGATTTCCAGAACCAATACATTTATCAGATTAAAAAGCAGATACTATTTCAAAGACAATGGTAAACCACATTGTAGCTAGGCATGACATACTACAGTATTTGTTAACAGGTGAGATATGAACTTCATTTTGAAATTAATGAAGGAAATTTGTGAATTGTTAAGAGTAAAGAAAATTGAGATCACTGCTTATCACCCAACTAATGGGTTAGTAGAAATATCTAACCAAACTCTACAAGATATCACAGTATCGTGAGAAAGATCATAAACATGGGATGAAAAGATTTCTTTGACTAGTATTACCTTATACAAGTGCAGAAAACAAGCCTACACAGGAAAGTCCTTTCTTCTTTTGCATGGTAGAGATGTAATGTTATCTATGTAGGAAATATTAGCATCTAAAAGGATGAATTTTGTAATAGATGAGGACTATAAAGCAGAAATGAAGCATAAATTGCAAACTGCATTTGAAATAGCAAATGAACATTTGACTAGAGGTGTAAAAAACAGAGCAAATCAAGTACTGGTAATAGTTTGTTTGAAATTAAGCACAAAGCTAAACAATAGGCTATCTGTGCTCTGCCCACCACGGGTATCGAAACCCGGATTCTAGCGTTGTAAGTCCGCAAACATACACTGGTAATAGTGATAGTATAGTGAGGGATAGTACAACTGAACTGGGGATATGTTATAATATGTAATTTTCACAGGAATCAAAGATAAATTACTAAATATGCGAGAAAAGAATTATCATTCCTAAGCCCTTCTATTTTTATAAAACAAAAACTCCAGGAACTTATTTATTTAACATTAGAAATGAATTGACTTTATCAATAATACGTCCAAAACATGACATTCATCAATTTGATTACCAAATCAAAATGGTTAGTGTAAAGGGAAGTGTTTATTTAAAATTAGCAAGAAATTGTTCTGCATGTGAAAAGGAAATAAATTTACCTTCTAGTTTTAGAAGAAAGACCAAGTATACTGCAGCACAATTGAACATAAAGATTCAAGGGTTACAAGAATTACCTACATGCGAGGAGTAACAGTTATATAAAGAAACAGAAAGTAACTTCAAAATCTCAATATTGAAAATTTTAGTAGAAGAAACTAAACATTTACCCCACAGAAGGTCAGAGCTAATAATTAGTTTTAACAACATGTAGAAAATTTGAGGGCTACAGCTGATTACACTATGCTTAGTATTACTCCTAATAAGCATACTGTTATATAAAGCACAGTACAAATTAGCGTTCGTCAAGTTACTAAAACTTGATGGACTATTAAGATTCGGCAAAGGAAATAAAGGCTAAAAAACACAACAGAAATCTTTAATACTACTCATTTAGCTGACCTGTTGGTTGAACAACAATAAGTACCATCATTAACCATGGGCTTTCTGCTGTACTTGTGGTCAGCCATAACCCATTCAATTTTTTCGAATTTTGAAACTGTAAACTGTAATTATCATACCTCATTTTCTGCTACAGCCGATATAAGTTTAATCACTGGCATGCGAGTGATTAGCCATAATAGGCAATATTTTAAAGTGAGTTTCACAGTTTAACAGAGATAAAGAAAATAATTCATCTTGTCTAAGGGTGTTCTAAAGCAGTGGTTCCCAACCTTTTCACCACCAAATATCCCTTTTATTATTCATTTTTTCCTGTGTCCTTTCTTCATTATTTAATGAAAGAAAATAGCTCACAAACCCACAGTATTACCTTCGCAGACCCCAGGTTGTGAACCACCATTCTAAAGTAATTGAACCCGCCAATGTGGATTTTCACTAAAAGAAGACAATTATTTAAAATTCAGGATACAACTGTGATAACCCAAGGGATAACGTAAGTGAATTATTCACTGATACTATTGTGATAAGAGTGGAGAAAAATAATGCGTCTTGTCAATTGGATTCTAAAGTAATTGAATCAGCCTGTGTGGATTTTTTACAAGAAAAGAGAATTATTTAGAGTTTTAGATAAACTGTGATTTCCTATAGTGTAAAGAAGTTTTGTACATACGTTTAACTTGTGATACCTTTCTCCAGACTAATTACTCATTGGAACAATATGTACATATGATGAAAGCAAGTAAGGTTTGAAAACCACTGGTCTCCAAACTAAAAGTATCAGCCTTGCATAGTTGTACAACCTGAACATCACCACATGTAGAATAATTGAAGCCATCCTAAATAAATTCTATGTTTAATCTCAGGTCACAGACTAAAAAGCCATAACAGAGATGAAATAAATAAATAAAAAAAAGACTACATTCAGAAACCATGTTTATAAAGACACAAGATTATAGCCAAGCCACCAAAAGTATATAAACATTCCAACACTAAACTTAAATATTATCTTTAACAACATGGAAAACAACAACAACAAAAAAATGTAAATGTCTGCTAACATATCAACATCATCAAATGGTATAATATGGTAGCATTACAAAGACTGATACTAATGACTTAATAGGCTCAGTTGAAGTGTTCTTAATGTCAAATGTGTAAACAGTAAAGGAGGGAACCATCAGCAGTATCATAAATAACAAATAATCAAATTTACTTTCAATGAAATGTTAAAAGGTGTTTTTATTATTTTCTAGTTGTCTTTTTTATATATCTACACAATTAGCCAACATTAAACATAGAATTTATTTAGAATACCTTTAACATTTTATCCTACTTCACAGATAACATTTACCTAAAAGATATTTTAAGAAATATTTTTTCCTTCATTGAAATGTGTGTTTTGGTGAAGAAATGAAATTACCAATTAAATAAATAAATAACCAGTTACTCTGCTGAATAATGTAAAATAATTGTGATGGTATGTACATGTTATCCAAACACCTAAAGCATTTTAGGTTATTAGTGGTGAGTAAATGACAACATATCTAAACCAAACAAACTGCTTACATTCCACAACTATATGAGGCCTATTTATTTATTTATTTGCTTCATTCTTATAAGCAGCACTGACAAGCCATGAATTAGGCAAAACTAGTCTGTTGCTGAGGGAGTAGCTAACTAAAGAATAGATTATGTCTGTACTCCATATTTTCCTCACTGAATTTATAATTGGGAAAGAAAAGAAATTAACAAATAAATAAATACTTTACCATGCAACTTTCACACTTTTGTCAAAAAAAAAGAATACCTTAATAGTTGCTACGTGTAAAGGTGTTTCTCCTTTAGCATTTCGTTTGATTACTGCAGGTGAAGAATTTGCAGGACTGCCACCAGGGCTACTTAGAGATTGTCGAAGACGGCGAGTACATATAGGAGTAGTACAGGTTGGCAACTGTCTAGGAGATGGTGATGAATTTCTCGTTGAATAATTTTCCAGGGTTTCTTTACAGTGTAATGACTCACTCTCTTTTCTTTTTACATACTCCTTAATTGTTTTTTTTGTCTTTTTGTTTGCACTTTCACTAATGTATTCAATCTTAGGACAGCAAGGTGATGACATATCAACATCTAACTGGTAACCTTTAGGTAACTCATGACGACTGCTGGGAGATTTTTCAATAGTGCTGGAGGTTAAGTTCCTACCTTTAGGTGGTACATGGTTTTGACTCTCTTTTGTGGTTTCTTTTTCTTCAGCTAAATTAGCAGCATTTTCATGCTGTTGGGCTTGGTTTAAAATATTCTTAGACTCTTCATAATAAGTGCTGTTTCCTTGGTTCCATGATGATGCCAAGTTCTTAGATTCTTTGAGAGAATCATTGTTCAGTTGATTAATATCAGTATTACAGTGGTCTTCCACAGCTTTTTCAACAATATCAATCTTTTGCTGATTCTTTGTAGATATTTTGTTATTAGGTTCTCCAGCAATATTATCATTTTGTTGTTTCTTAGAAAACAGTGTAGGTATACATTTTTCCGGTTCTTCAACAAAGTCTTTGTTTACCTGGCTCTCATTTTGGATAGTGTGGTTGGGAATAAAATCATTATTCTGTTGATTCTGGTTAAGTAAAGTTTTCAATTCATTAAGCAGTTTCAGAAGAGTTCCCATCTGACTGTCACTCTGTACATCTTTAACAGCTGAGGGCATGAAACAGAGTGGACAGAAATTACCCTGATGCCTTGTGATGCATTTTCTAAAAAAACAAAATATTGAAATTATTTTTTAAAACCAATATTTGAACATTATAATATTGCTTAGAAACCTTTGAATGGCATTCTACATTGTAGAGAATTTAATTCAAAAACATAAATTTACTCTAACAAGTACGAATCCACTTTCAATTTCCATACAGTAAGTGTTTTTGGAGATGGAGTAAGACCTAGGTGTATCTATTGAGAAACAAAAAGGCTCAGAAGCCTTCAGCCAAAGCTAGTCAATTTCTGGGATACATTTAAAGAAATATCTGATTTAATATCATACTGTAATAAAGATTAATTTCAATTTGTATGACTAAATTAGATTATATTTGAAGTACTCTGTCATTTTGATCTAATGAATTACAAAGTGAGCACAACATTCCATCAGTAGAGATACTGTAAACATTAATTCTGTTGTGTTTTATTTTACTTCCAGATAGTGATTACAATCACTCAAAAATAGGATGCATATGTTAGACTGAACAAAGACAGTGAGCAAACATAATTTAGTGGTGGTATAAACATAAAAAGTGTGCAGATGTTGTTTATTTCATGCTAAGTATAGTGTGAATGGGTGTATGATACAGTCCACCCTGTATCCTATAGAAAGTCTATCTATGCTTGAAGGAATTTAGTATAAGGCTACTAGAATGAGCTATGAGGAAAGGTTTAAACATTTTAACTTCTTTTGATGGAGTATAAATCTAAGAAGTGATATGTTGGAAAGACAAGTTTTGTAATAGAAACTTGAATGTTAAAGATCATAAGTATAAGCTTGAGAAATGAATTTAAAAAAATACTTATTCTAATGGAGATAATTTTCTCAGAATTTTTAACCTTTGGAATAGCTTAAGCTCATAAAATTATGGTATTGTATCATTATTTGAAATATTTTATATATATATACAAGTTTTCAAAGTTAATTTTGGATGGTTTAGTGTTTGCTTTTAATGATGCGGTGTAACTACAGGTGTTCACACAGTCTCCTGTGATTTCTTGTTCTGTAACTTTCTCAATCTCACTGAAATTGTCTCATCAGCATTGTAAAAGAATGAAAGTTAATATTTTCCTAAACCAAAAATGTATTTCCGATAATACTTACCTCTGCTTACACTATAGCTATTTCTCGATCTCCAGGGTTTCCACTCTTTCCATCTAAGCATTGAAAATACTTGCTCCAATCTTTTATACCCCACTCAAATGCCCTTGGCAAATTCTAATTTGAAAATTTCTCCACCAAGTTCAATGCACCCTCAATCTAGGTACTGTATATAAGCACCTCATTCAGATAATGTAATCACTTTCTTGAGACATAAACCAGCTTTTAGTGGGAAGGTGGGAGAGTGTCAACAGAGGTAAGTATTACTGGAAATACATTTTCAGTTTAGGAAAATGTTAACTTCCAAAACATACTTACTTCTGCTGATACTATAGCTAGAATCCCACATTGAGAAGGTGGAGGGGCTGGTGCAGGCATGAACCATACAGAAAGCATCTGTATTGAACAGAAATGTACCAAGATAAAGATGGTACAAGAGTAGGGGAACTGCACTACACCCAGAACAGGTATGCTCTTCACCAGGAACTCAGTTCCTATAACAAAGGTGGAATAGAATACAAGTAATTGTCAGTATAGGCCAGCCCCAAATAGATAGTCAAGGTTCCACAACTCAGGGTTGGAATTAAGGGGCTATTGGACAGCAATGTTATGTATACTTTTGTTTGGATCCCAAACGCATTGGAGACCCCTGAGGAACAGTGCTCTGGAAACTGTGCAATAGATGATCCAAGTTCTCTACATTTTTAAAAGCAAACCGACCCCGATATATTCAACTTGAAGACTGGCAGGGGTGGGCAGGATCCCCTTTAGCTTTACTCACGATAGTCCATGAGTGGCAGTCCATAATAAAAAGGTAATACCATGTGGTGAAAATGGCTACAGGGGTTAGTCAAAAACCCTCAGAAGAGGAAAATGCCAGATCATGTAAGTCATGAGATAGGAAAGTATTAGGAGTAATTCACATACCAAATCACCCAATGTCTTCCAGAGGGCAATTCAACCAAGAAGCTAGAGATATGACAAATCTGGTGAGATGTGACACACAAAAGTTTCCTCTTCTGTAATGATAATCCATTATAGGCCATGAGAATCAATTTATGAAGCCACCTCGTTAGGGTAATGGAAGATAAGTAACAGGAAAAAGAAGGATTCCAATGAATGAACAATTGATTCCTACTACCTCGAAATGAGTTAGTACGAGCTACATAACACTTTAGAGTCCTAACAGGACATAACAAACAGTCAGGATCAGAGTGGTCATAAAGGAGAGAAATGACTGGCAAATGGATTGGTGAGAAGGATCTTTCCCCTTCTTTAGCTATTAGTCTTGGACAAAAAAGACCTATTGGGGTAAAGCAGGACAAATGTGGAATGATAAAGAGTCTGAACCACATGAATTGCAAACAATTCCAACTGATGACATTCACAAGCCAGTAACAACAAAAATACAATTTAAGAGAAAGGTGAAACAAAGAACATGAAGCTAAGGGCTCAAAGGGAGGATGAGACAATGCCTGTAAAACAACTGTAAAATCCCAATTTGGTAATGGAAAAGGTCATTTTGGTCAAAGAATATGAAGGGTTTGGAGTAGACCTGCTAGTACTGAGGATTCAAAAAACCTTCCAATATTTGGAATACCAAAAAATAATAGATAAGGATGCCTTATATAAAGCAACTGTAAATAAATCAAGACTCCTCTCAAATACCCAAGTCATAAAATGGGATATGGTAGATACTTTAGGATGAAGAGGGTTGAAGTTCCTTTTAAGACACCACTGATGATAAGTATTCCATTTCCGTTGATAAATGGCTGTGGTTGGCCAACAGAGAGATCTAGTTAAGTACAGAGAAACCGTAGAAGATAAACCCTTATGTTTGGTAAAGGACTGCATAACTTCCAAGCATGAAGATTGAGTTTCCGAACATCTGGGTGGAGAATATCTGATTGAGGCTGTCTCAGAGACTGCCAAAGTGGAAGACGTATAGGAGTACATACCTGCAGATACCAAAGAAGTGGAAACTAATTTTTAATTGGCCAATATAGTGCAACCAAGATAACTCGACAGAGAGTGGAGTGAACCATAATCAGAAACCAGGGCTATAGCCAAATCAGAGGAAAGACATACAGATGTAAGCCTGTCCAGGCCCGACTGAACTCATCTACTGCCAATGCTTGAAGATGAGGCATTGGAGACTAAAACTGAGAGCACATCCAATGAAAAACCTCATGATGTATCATCCATTCTGTCGGAATAATGTGGTTGGTTGGATCAAGACAAGAGATCTGCAATTAAATTCATCACTCCAGGAACATGACATGCTAAAAGACTTAAACGATGGGAATGAGTCCAGTAAAGATCCAAGGTAGGAAAACAAGGTCTCAAAAATGGTTGAGTCAAGATAGATCGATGATTTGATGCCAATCTTCTTGAGTACAATGAATAAACGGGAATAAAATCCCAGAAGAACTGGATCAACCCTCTCTACTGCTCTTTTGACTAACAATTCTCTTATAGCCTGGGAACGAAGCCCCACTCGTCATGAATATGCTGGAGGTGACAAGACAACAGGTTGTGCAGATAAAGGTGGAAGTGATGTAAATTGAATGACCAACCCTGAATCCAGAGCATGGAATACCTATGGATCCCTGGTGAAAGAACTCCATATGTTCAGAAAGTGATGTATTAGTGGTCCCACTGGTCCCCGCCTATGGGACTGACACCAATGTCATTTTCAACGGTCTGCCTGAGCCAAAGATTCTTGAGAATAAGGATGGACTCTTTATGGGAACCAATAGACCTGGGAACTGAAGGACGGGGTCATGAAAAACTACGAGTCAACATTCCCAAATCAGCACCAGAAAGGCAAAAAGTCAACAATGATAAATAAGAATGTAAACAAGCTGAATCAAATCTTGATTATAAAGTCTCAGGAACTCCAGCAAACAACATGAAACAGAGAAAAGAAGCTTCCCATAACTCCCCGAAGGGAGAAGATTGTAAACAAACTTTTGAACAAAGAATCTCTACCCAAAAAATACCAACCAGGAAACTATACAAAGAACTGAAAGAAAACAATCTGAATTAGGTAAATGTCAGCAAAATCCCCAACTTGTCCTCAAATTGCTGAGGGGAACATTGATAGGCTTCCAACAAAAATTTGGATTGAAGATAAATACCTCAGGACAGTCGTGAGAGTAAGACGAATCCAAGAAACTGTGATCTGTTTAAAGTGATCATAGGTTCCAATCGAAACTCCACAGGTCCAAAAGTGGGTCTATTGGTTGAGAATCTAAATATACCTCCTCCTCCTGGCAGTGATAAGCCAAAGCATGTTGTTCAGATAAACGTAGGGGATAAGGCATAGCTATCCCGTCACGTAACTGAGTGGCAAATCTCCCAGCATGAACAGCAATATCAGAAGAAGGAGGAGAAATCAAGTAGTCACTTGCTGTCCTTGCTGCCAACAAGGAAGTAGTCAAATGCAATAACCAACTGAAGAAAGGGGGCTGGAGGTGGCTGATCAACATAGTCCTCTGTTGAGGCTGACCTAATAAAAGAAGCCAGAAAAAAAAAAAGAGTCTAAACTCTTCCCAACCAGTCCAGGTTAGTTGTAAAAGCTGCCACAGAACTCCTCGGAGAGACACCATTGGTCTGCATATGTGTCCATCTCGCAACGGATCATATCACGGACAGCTTCGACTGAGAGCAACCCCTCCCCTGGCCATTGACAAACACCAGATAACACAGGTGGAAGAGGAGAGGTCTGAATGGCCTCCGAAGTAGAAACATTAACTCTGGAAAGTAATTTATAAATATATGAAGATATAACCATAGTAACGCAAACCACATTCAAAGTTGTATTGTAAATTGTGAATAATCACAACACTCCTTTTTATAGAATCCCATGCTGAAAGCTTTGTAGAGAAAAAGTGA